GTTGTAGGTGTCCTTCTGTCTAAAATGAGTCTCTTGTAGACAGCAAATAGATGGGTCCTGCTTTTTTATCCAGTCTGAAACCCTGCGCCTTTTGATGGGGTCATTAAGCCCGTTCACGTTCAGAGTTACTATTGACAGATATGAGTTTAGTGTCATCATGATATCTATTTAGTCCTTGTTTTTGTGGATTGTTCCACTGAACTTCTTCTTAAAGGGGAATTTAAGAGTCCCCCTTAAAATTTCTTGCAGAGCTGGTTTGGAGGTCACATATTCTTTCAGTTCCTGCCTGTCTTGGAAGCTCTTTATCTCTCCTTCCATTTTGAATGAGAGCCTTGCTGGATAAAGTATTCTTGGTTGCATGTTCTTCTCATTTAGGACCCTGAATATATCCTGCCAGCCCTTTCTGGCCTGCCACGTCTCTGTGGAGAGGTCTGCTGTTACCCTAATATTCCTCCCCATGAAAGTCAGGGACTTCTTGTCTCTTGCTGCTTTAAGGATCTTCTCTTTATCTTTGGAATTTGCAAGCTTCACTATTAGATGTCGAGGTGTTGAACGGTTTTTATTGATTTTAGGGGGGGATTCTCTCTATTTCCTGGATCTGAATGCCTGTTTCCCTTCCCAGATTGGGAAAGTTTTCAGCTAGGATTTGTTCAAATACATATTCTGGCCCTCTGGCCCTTTCGGCGCCCTCGGGAACCCCAATTAAACGTAGGTTTTTCTTCCTTAGGCTGTCATTTATTTCCCTTAATCTGTCTTCATGGTCTTTTAATTGTTTGTCTCTTTTTTCCTCAGTTTCCCTCTTTGCCATCAACTTGTCTTCTATGTCACTCACTCGTTCTTCCACCTCGTTAACCCTCGTCGTTAGGACTTCTAGTTTGGATTGCATCTCATTCAATTGATTTTTAATTTCTGCCTGATTGGATCTAAATCCTGCAGTCATGAAGTCTCGTGAGTCCTTAATGCTTTTTTCTAGAGCCACCAGTAGCTGTATAATAGTGCTTCTGAATTGGCTTTCTGACATTGAATTGTAATCCAGATTTTGTAACTCTGTGGGAGAGAGGACTGTTTCTGATTCTTTCTTTTGAGGTGAGGTTTTCCTTCTAGTCATTTTGCTCAGTGCAGAGTGGCCAAAAACAAGTTGTATTGGGAAAAGGAGAGAAAGAGAGAGAAGGAAAGAAAAGAGAAAAAGAAAAAAGAAAAAGAAGAAAAAAGGAAAAAGAGAAGAAAAAGAGAAAGAAGAAAGAAAGGTGAAAAAAAGAGGGGTGGGGGAAGCAATCAGAAATCAAAAAGAAAAGAAAAAAGAAAAAAAAAAAAATAAAACACGGGGGAGTATCTTCTGATTCTGTAGACTTTAAGTCCCTTGACTTCCCCTGGAACTGGTCCGTCCAGCTGGTCTTCTGGGGGAGGGGCCTGCTGTGCTGATTTTCAGGTGTTAGCACTTGGGGGAGCTGCTCTGCCCCTGCCTGCTGCAGGGCTCAGCGGGGGTTGTTTACCCCGTGAGGCCCCAGGAGGAACAGTCCCAGTGGTTAGGGCAGCTCTGGAAGCCTGGAGTCAGCCCCCGCAGGAACTAAGGGGCTCTCTGTCCGTCTGCAGGGCCTGGAGGCTCCGGGGCGGGGCCGCTGATCTGCTCAGCTCGGGGCAGGAGCGTCCTTGCTGTCCTGGGCCCTCCCGGCCTCTGCCTGTCCCGGGGGAGGCCGGATCCTGGGCTGTGTCCCGGCGCCCTGTGCTCCGGGGCCTGCGCTGTGGGATTCGCGCTCCCGGCCCGCAGCCCCCTCCAGGAGCCGCCCCCGAGCCCCTCGAGCTGCCCAGGCCGCGCAGCCCCTCCGCGGAGCCCCTCTCGAGCCTCCGCGGAGCCGCCTCTCGAGCCCCGCCAAGCCTCCAGCCTCCGGTGCGCGCTGCAGCCCTTAGGGAGCTCGGCGCACTCTCCCGGGGCGCAGGTGTCTGTTAGTGTCCCCAGGAGCCCGAGGGCATCCCCGCCCTCCTGGGTCCTGCTCTAACTCCCTGCGGGCCCCTTTCCGCCCGGGAAGGTTGGTGCAGCTCCTGCTCCTCCGGGACGGGGCTCTCCTGTCCTGGGGACACTCGCCCCGGCCTCAGCCCGGCTCCTCGCGGGGCCCCTCCCCCTCGGAGGCCTTTAGTTTCTTTATCTCTTTTTCCCCGTCTTCCTACCTTGATAGAAGCGCGAACTCTTCTCACTGTAGCGTTCCAGCTGGTCTCTCTTTAAATCTCAGGCCGAATTCGTAGATTTTCAGGATGATTTGAAGGTTATCTAGGTAATTTGGTGGGGACAGGTGCTTTGGGGACCCTGCTCTTCCGCCATCTGGCCCCTCCCCCCACGTCGGTCTCCTGCTGGGTCGTCTGCTTGGGGCTGCAGTGCAAGGAGCTGGGAGGGCGGGGCGCCCCCACCGAGGGCACCGCAGACTTTCCTGCGGGCGGTGTCCTAAATGCAGAGCCTTTCAGGAGCGGGTGCGCCCCCGAGGGAGCTCCAGGGGCCAAAACCTGATTGGAGCTGATGGCGACAAAGGGCCACGGGCGTCGCTAAGTGCCCTTGCAGGGACTTTGTTCTGCCTACGTTGTGGGTGGTCGGTTGCCAGGCAGTGCCCGCGGGGGACTAGCACCAGGACCGGGAGCAGCCCTCCAGCCCCTGGAGGATGTCTACCAGCCCCGTGGACCCTGGTCCCTAGTTCTCAGTCTGGGCTGGGACCATAGGATCATTTGGAGGATTCCCGTTTGGGTGGACAGTGAGGGTGAGGTGGTCTGTACCAGTTCAAGGCCCTTGGTCCCTGCCTCCAAGGCCACGACCCTCAGCCATCCTGCCAGCTCCCACCTGGACACCTTCTCCTCCAGGCTCATTCCCAGCGTGGTGGCTATGGTTTGCACAGATGCCAGGGCCCCTGGAGAGCTCAGGGATAGAGATGGCTCAGGCCACCCGTGGGCGGGACAGCTTCCAGGGCTGACGTGTGGCCTTGAGACCCAGTGTGAGTGCAACCCCGGTCGTACCTCCGCGACATGGGTGTAGACGTGCCATGGCCGAGGGTCCAGGGACCTCTCCTCAACACACTGAGAGAGCAAGGGGGCCATGCTTCCCCGGGGTTTCCCTAGACCTGGTGAAAGCCCCATCTGTCCTGAGGCCACCCTCGCCAGACACCATGGATTCCGACGTCGCAACCCATTCTGTTCTGGGAAGGAGCTGGACCAACCCACTGTGTCTATGGAAACAAACTATGGGCGGAGGGTGTCTAGCATCGGCTCTACCTAGGGACAGATCCACATAATCCCTCCCATGGAGCCAGATGCACACAGAAAGGGACATCTCGAGTGCCTGTGCAGCCCCGTCGCTTGGCTGTCCGCCTGGGTTCAGGTCATGATCCCAGGGTCCAGGATGGAGCCTCAAGTGGGGCTCCCTGCTCAGTGGGGTCCTGCTTCTCTCCTGCCAGTGCACGAGCTCTCTCGCTCGCTCTCTCTCACCATGCACCCCCATAAATCTCTAAAGCATTTCACAGAAAAGGAAATGCAGATACAGATAATGGTGGACACGCATGTGTGCACAGAGGTGACTAGGGGAGGCAGAGAGGTTGGGGTATAAGGGCCCCCTCTCAGAACTCCGCTTCCTCGCAAACGCTGAAACCTACGTGTTGGATCCAGAGGCCTCAGATGAGGATGTCAGCCCTCATCTCCAAGGCGTGTGGGACATGTCAGAGGCATAGTAAACCCGAAGGGACCGACCGCCCCCACTCCCCTATTCTTCCAAATTTTCCACCGACATTCCTTTCCTGAGGTTCAATGACCAGACAGTAAGTTGCAAAGGAAGCTCCCGTGACAGTGTGACCTCTGTGTGTGTCTACCTGTGAGAGAAAATGAGGTAGAGGGGTCAGGAGACAGAGATAGACAGACAGAGAGACAGAGAGACAGAGTGAGAGACAGAGAGATAGAGGAGAGAAAGAGAGAGAGGTTTAGAGAAAGAGAGGGAGACAAGGATAGAGGGAGGAGGCGACCATGAGGGAGGAGTGGGGAGATTCACTGCCCGCCCAAGAGGATCGGGGTTAGGGGTGAATTAGGCCTCAGCTGACACCATCATGGCCAGATCGCGTGCGTGGAGCGTGTGTCCCTGGGCGTCCCCGTCGACCCCTTGGAGGAGTGCTCACACAAGCAGCGCCTCCACCCAGTGATGGTGGCTGTGTGTGGGGAGGGTGAGTGAGGCCTGTGCGTGTGTCTGTGCCACGTTGGGAGCTGCAGGTGGGCGTCTTGGTGTCTCCACAGCCCGTTTCGGGCACAGGCACGGGAAGCATTGCGAATGTTGCAAGACAGGCAGGAATGAAGGGACCGAAGGCCCAGGGGACAAACGACACCACGAGATCGCTCGGGGGAGGCAGAGAGATGTTTATTGTAGCCACGGGTCATCCCATGGAGCTTGAACAGCCGGGATGAGGTTTCCTCAAGTGACTCTTGGCAGGGAAGAGAGGTGACCCGGCTGAGGGAAGACCTGTGACAGGCTGACCGCTAACGTCTGCTGCTTCCTGAATAGCCAGGGACCCTTGAGGGTCCAGGGGCCTGCTGATGGGTCCCACAGAAGGAAAACACATGCACATGCACAAAGGCGCACACACACGGCTGAGGTTCTGGAACGCACCCCAGTGGGACCGTCTCACACTGACCGCCCGGAGTGGCTGTGGCCACCCCTCTGGCTGCCACTTGCTGAGTGTTGGCAGTGCTCTGGGCAAGATGCCAGGCCAAGGCCCCAGGACATTCCCGCCGTAGCCTGGGACAGGAGGCCAGGCTTTGCCCCTTAGGCCATTCCCGCCCTGACAGCCTAGATGCATCCGTGTCCCTGGGCAACACAGTCCAGACCTGGAGCATGATGGCTGCTCCTCCTGGCCTCAGGCTCCGTCGGGCCCCTGGCTGAACTGTGGGTTCCCCCTCCTCTGAGTCACGCTAGGGCCCCGTGTTCCCCTGGATGCCTGAATGAATGGGTTGGGCGTGGGGAGGACAGGGCCTCCCTGCTCCTAGGCCTGAGGCCACAAGGAGTCCTGTAGCATTTCCAGCAGAGCGTGAAAATCGTCCTCGCTGAGGGGTGCTTCCAGGGGTCCTGGAGGTTCGTCCTCCTGCAGAGGCCCCACCCACAAGGGGTGTACATCTTCTTCCATCTCATCGGCTGAGAAAAGCTCTTGTAGGAAACTGGAGGTGTCCGCACACAGCTGGTGTTGTGGGGGCAGCGGGACACATGGCCCTGCAGGAGGGGGAGGCTGTTGCCACCAAGCGGGGCTCTCCCCGGGGGCGGGCTGCCGCCCTGTCCCATCCTGGGACCCTGCTGTGCCCATGACTGCCTGGGAACTTTGGCCCCTCCTCGGCATGGCCTGATCGGTGCCCGAGGGACCTGCATGACCCCAGTGTTGAGGGGGATCAGCAGGTGGAGGCCGCGGGCCAACTTGCGAGGGCAGGGGCGCCTTGCTGGGGTGCTCTTTTGGCTGCTGGCATCTCCCAGGGCAGGGCAGGCCAAGGTCAGCGTGACCTGGTGAGAGGCCCCCTCCTGGCGTCAGTCCTGGGCAGGATCGGCTCCCCAGGTCTCTGGGAGCAGCAGCATTTCCTCCTTGCCCACCTAAGGTGGGTGGGACCAGGCTGGCCCCCGGAATCAGACGCCCAAATCCCCCACAGGAAACTGGAGGGACAACATCCACGGAGGAAACAGGAGGTGTCCCTGCAGCCTGCGTCTGCATGCTTCCCAAAGGATCAAAGGGCGCCAGATTTGGAGAGCTCCTGGGGACCCTCGACAGGTGGCTTTGGTCCAATGGGACCGTCCCGCGAGGACTGGGTTTGTGGTTTGCCGCCAAAGCATTCTCGGGCCCACTTGGGCTCTGCCCTGGGTGCCGAGCTCTTCTGTTCTGAAACCAAACCTGGGACAGAGAATAGGGGTTGTGGCCATCAGAAGGAGGACGGGATGCCAAGTCTGCTTCCCCGTGACCTGCCCTGTCCCACCTCACCCACCTGCACACACCCACCCCACCCCGTGCTCTCTCCAGGAAAGACGCAGTGAATGGTTGGGGCTGAACCTCGGGCCACGGCTGTCCCTACCTTTCCACGGGCCCTCGAAAACCATGTGCATGCCCTGGGCAACCTTGGCTACCTAGCCGGGAGCATACTGGGCCTGTGTCACTTTGCCTGGCAGGTGCTTCTGCTGCTCTTCGCTCCCTGCCCTGCCGTCGCCTTCTTTGCCTATTGCGGCCTGGGGATCAGCCGTGCCCTGAGTCCTGGGACCGAGACTCATCCGACGGCCTGCCCCACTTTACCCAGGATAGTCCACGTCCTGAGGTCTGCTCCCGGCTGCCCTCAACACCTCTGTCCCCATCTACTCTTGGGTGTGAACGTGTGGAAAACCACATCCTCTGCCTCAGAGCCTTGGACTCATGGCTATGTGGTCTGACTGCAGGCACATCTGTGATGGGCCGAGCGAAAGGCGTGGGCAGCCAGTCCTCCACATCCAGAACAGCTACGTTTGCATCGGCCCTCCCTCCCGTCCTGGCTGGAGGAAAAGAGGGGCTCAGGTGAGCTCCTGGAGTTTCCCCTCTGACCCTGGAAAAGACGCGTCAGAGGAAAGCCAAGGCGTGCCACCTGAAGCAGCCTCCTCACGCTCTTGCACCAACCAAGAGTCTTTCAGAGAACCTGCCTATATCTCCCTGAAAGCTGCCTCACACCTCCCATCCCGTAAAGCGCTGTGTGCAGAACTAAGGCAGAAGAGCCGCACACAGCTGGGCTCCCTGAATCCTCTCCCTCACCTGGATTAGGGCCTGTAATCCCGGCTGATTACATTATCCACACAAGGTGTGGCTCCTGGGCAGGATCCGTTTCAGCCCCGTGGTCCTGAGGCCCAGGGCAGCATCACACCGGTCTCCACACAAAGGACGGCAAGCCCACGCACACTAATGGCATCTTGGGGGCGTACTCAATGGGTAATCGGGCTGAGTTTGAAGCCGCTGAGACTATGGCTTCTCTCGAGAGGGGCCAACTTGGACATATTCCCACTTTGGTCCGGTCACCATTTCTACAAGCATGTGTGCTAACCAACACTGAGTTTGGAAATTCTTCCTTTGGACGGGTTCTCCCAGGCTTGGTCAACACTCCGCCCTTGGTGCCTCTGCCCCACACCCCGCGGGTACCCCCTCCCCAGGAGCCCACGTCTCTCCAGCACCCTGTAAGGGCTACCTTCCCTTCCGCAGGGAACAACGCCCGTGACACACTGTAAAAACTCACCTGAATTCTGGCTTCTGGAATGCCTGTTTTTCTGGCCAGGCTTTCCCTCATACCAATGCCAGGAAACCGCTCCTCCTCAAAGGCTTGAAGGAGGATACTGGTTTGGGATGCAGAAATGGATGTCCGTTTTCTCCTGCCTTCCTTCGGGACACGACCTAAAGAGAGAACAAGGTTGGAGAGGAGGGCTTGGACGCCAATAGCACAGCCAGTGTGGAGACAGAAGTGGGTGTCAGGGTGTGTGTGATGGTGTGTGACGGTGTCTGCATGCATGTGACTGCGAGTGTGAGTGTGTGCGTGTGTGTGCGTGTGTGTGTGTTGTGTGTGAGAGAGAGAGAGAGAGAGAGGGAGAGAGAGAGCACTTTTCTCCATGTTCTCTGTCTTCATAGGCTCTCCTTCCCTGAGGCCAAGGAGACAGAGCCTGGACTGAGTCCCAGAGCCCGCCTTTGAATAACAATGGTGAGTTGATGGAAGAAGAGGCCTGTGTCCTGGCTAGCAGGTTCAGGACAGGAAGATGCAGATACTTCCTGGCCCAGGAACAGCCCGCCTGCTGCCTGCCCAGGCGCCATCTGGGGTCACAAGGGTGGCTAGAGCCTGAGATCAGAGCTTGGGGCCCTTCCTGAGGCTTCTGCCACAGCCAGGTCAGCACACAGAGACACGTTCCTGTGTCAAGGAGTGGCTCAGGAGGAGACCCTTCTTGGGTGCCGGGGAGTCACCTGGAGGCTGTTCCTTTCCATTCGGTGGCCCTTCTCCTTGGGAAATTCTGCTGGAGTCCAGTCGGCGGCTCTGCCTTAGCCGTCTCGTTCTCTGGTTTTGGACCCAGACCTAAGGGGCAAAAGAAGAAGCAACGTTCAGGTCACACGGGAGGGCAGGAAACCCCACACATGTGGCAGGGACACGAGGCCCCAAGACCAACCGTCAACCCAGGGAAAGCCAGAGCTGGCTTGGTGCCTCCAGTGGCACGTGCTATTTGCATGGCCCTCTGGTGTACGAGGAAGTAGGCGTTGGTCTAACCTGAGGAGCGGGAACTGTAGGGAAACCTACAACAGATGGCGTGGGGACAAGAGTCATTTCTTCTTTGGTCATCCGCATGGGCAGAGGATGGAGCTCCTGCTGAAGTCCCCTGTAGGGAGCCGAGGACACTTGGACTGACCAAGAAGACACTGGAAACGGGTGTCATTCTCCTCACCAATGGACCCGTGCGCAGGCTTCCTCTCCACTGGAGGGAAAAGACAGGTGTGCCGTCATGGATAGGCATACGTGCATCTCTATGTGTCTCTTCCCCACCCCTGTAGGAGGACTCACAGTGTTTCATGTGGGGAAAGTGATTGGTCAGGACACAGGATCTCTGGGGACACTCAGCCCATGGGCATGGACCTGTCGTCAGGCCTCAGGCCTTGGGCCCCAGTGTTCCCTCGTCCCTTGAGTGAAGGTCTTGGAAGGACCTCCAAGGGCAAGGTCTCCTAGGGCCCGCACACCCCAGGCCATGGGTTCTGAGCTCCCCAGCTGACCACGCAGAAGGACGGGCAGTCACCTAGCCCCATGTGTGTGCACTCTTCCTCCCCCGAGAGTCCATGAGAAAAGCACTGGGGCTGCCTACCTGGATTCTAGACTCGGAGATGGCCAGCTCTCGGGCCAGGTGTTCTCTGGCAGTGATGCCGGGGTAAGGGTTCTCCTGGAAGAATGCCTGCAGGGCCCCCTTCTGGCATGCCGTCAACACGAGCCTCCTTCGTCGGGGTGCTCGTGGGAGTGGGCCTGTGTGGGGAAGAGGGCAGCGACGGGAGGAAGGCTTTCAGAGGAGCATCGACCGGTGATGTGCTCTCAGAGCTCCTGTTTCTGGGATGTCGAAAACGTCCCCATCCAGGGGCACCCATCCCTTTGCCACTCATGGACCCACCTAAGCCTGAGGGGGTTGTTCCACTGGACACAGGCCGTTCCGCATCTGCCCTTGGGAGTGGGTGATCGTCAAGGATCTAGGGAAAGGGCAGCCTTGAGCTAGGTATGTGATTCCAGGCCAAGGTGTGGAGAAGACCCTGGGTGGGGGTCCCGGTGGGCGTCGGGTTCGAAGAGGTGGTGGGGCGGGGTGGAAAGCCCATTGGGAAAACCAAAGAGGACCATATGTCCACCAGGAAACCTCAAGGGAACCTGTGAAAACCCATGCCCACCGTGGGTCCCTTGAGCTGAAAGTTCTACAGTGGCCAACTCGTCTAAGAAGTGATCCACCTTGACCCAATTTCTGCGCCCCGAGATCCAGCTGGCAGCCTCACAGAAGCGGGACTCCTGCTCGAATCTCCGCCCAGTCCAGGGTTCCCTCCGCCGGCAGCCCTATGCAAGCCTCTCTCCAGCCCCTTTGCCCAGACCCCAGGGGAGCCCCCCCCCTCCCCCCACGGGCGTCCCAGCGACCCGGGTGGTGACTTCTCTTGTGCTTAAGCCTGGAAAGTCGCCAGAGCCCCTGGGGCATCCCAGCAGGAGCGGGCCCGCGCTGGCACTCACCGCCGGGGGTGCTGCTGGAAGCCATGCTGCAGGAGGAGCTCGCTCCCAGGGCGCCGGCAGGGCGACTGGGCAGGATGCGGCAGCGCGGGACTTACCACGGCCTGGGTGGCCCCGCCCCAGGATGGCCCACCCCTCGGCCTTCCCACAGCTTCCTGGGTGGCCCTGCCCTCAGTGGGGCCGACCTTGGGCGGACCAGGGAGGTCTTCCGGGACCGGGGCCTCGGGACCACCCGACGCAAGAGTTGGAGCTTGGCCTGGGTCGGATGGGCCCGCCCCCTGCCCTTGGACTGACGGGCGCCTTCCCGGCACCCACAGGCCTCTCGGGATCTCAGCTCTGACCCAGAGACGCGCCCTGGAGGCCCTGTGCGCCGTGACTCTGCCCGGACCCCTTCGTGGCCCTCGTACAATCGCTCAGGATTCCGGCCCGAGGTTGTGGCGGCACGAGCCTCCTGCTTCGCCTCCCTGGAAAGTCATTTTAATTTGTTTCCTTTGTTTTTTACTTGTTCCAGTTAAACTTGTGTGGTTTATTTCTTTTCACTTTGGTCATTTTTCATTGGGAGTGTTCCACTTTTCCTTTTTAGGTGTATTTGTAGCAATGACTTTGTAATTTCGAGATACATATGTATATATATCTCCAAATTATACACATACATTCATATATATGTGGATGTGTTTTTTTAACAAACATATACTTGGAGGTCCCCGTGGGTTTTGAACCCTGGGCCCGCCAATCTGGACTGGTCAGCCTCTCAGTTTGGTCAGGAGGCAGCCTCTGAATCTGGGGAAGCAGTTTCCAATGACACCCAGGCGCCTCCCAGGCGGCTCCCCGGCAGCTCCTGTGAAGCCGCACTGGCCAGCCAGGCAGGAGACGGAAATCAGACCCCTTAGATGGGAGGCCTATGAGCGGGACCTTGGGCGCCAGCCATCGTCCTCCGTGTGCGGATGGATGGGTGGCACCTCGGTGGTTTGCCTGTGGGCACGAATGAGCAACGACCTTGAAGGAACGAATGCAGAGCACCCGTGGGCGTGGACCATTCGGGGCAAGTGCGTGTGTTACCACGTCCTTGGGCCACGGAGGCAATGCCCTCCGCAGCCTCACACGGATTCAGGCCTACCCCGGGGAGAAGAGTGTGGGCTCCCTCAGAGCTCATCGTGGGTGGTCAGGCAGGCTCCAGCTGCTTCCCCTCGCTCTTGACCGCCCTCTGCTGGGCATGTCCGCAGGGGCATGAGGTGTCCAAGGAGAGCGTGGCTTAGTGACCTGGGAGACCCGGGAAGACGGGTCCAATCACCTGCAAAGCACACGAAGAAAATCATATCCCCCTGCGAATCTGTACTTTTGTATCCTTCGGGTAAATACCTAGTTGTGCATTTCTGGTCTTGGGGTAGTTCTATTTTTAACCTGAGGAACCTCCATACTATTTTTGTACGGTGGCTGCATCTGTTTGCTCTCCCACCAGTAGTGTAGGAGGGTTCTCCTTTCTCCCCATCCTCACCAATACCTGTTGTCTCCTGTGCTGTTTCTTTTAGCCATTATGGCAAGTGTCAGGTGACATCTCATTGTGGTTTTGATTTGCGTTTCCCTGATGATGGGTGACATTGAGTGTCTTTCCATGTGTCTGGTGGCCATGTTAGAGAAAATGTCTATTCGTGTCTTCTGCCCATTTTCAGTTGGATAATTCAGGTTTTGAATGTGGAGCTTTACATTTTGGATACTAAATCTTTATTGGATCTGTCTTCTAGAAGTATCTTTTCTCATTTTGTAAGTTGCCTCTTAGCTTTGGTTGTTTCCTTCACTGTGCAGGGCTTTTTATCTTGATGAAGTCCCAACAGTTTATTGTTGCTTTTGTTTCCCTTGTCCCAGGGGCATATCTAGAAAGAAGATCCTATGGCCAACTCAAAGATGTCACTGCCTATCTTTTCTTCCTTTTATGGTTTCAGGTCTCACCTTTAGGTCTTCAATCCCTTTTGAATTTATTTTTTTATCCATGGTGTGGGAAAGTGTTCCAGTCCCATTCTCCGGCATGTGGCTGTCTAGTTTTCCCAACATCATTTGCTGAAGAGACTGTCATTTAACCATTGGATATTCTTTCCTGCTTTGTCAAGTATTAACTCAGCCTAGAGTTACAGGTTTGTATCTTGTTTCGGTTTTCCATTGTCTTCTATTGATCTAGGTGTCTTCTTCTTGTGCCCGCACTCTTTGGATCACCAGAAAACTGTAATATAACTTGAAGCCTGAATTTGTGGTGCCCCCAGCCTTGATTTTCTCTTTCTACGTATCTTTGGCTATTTTCAATCTTTTGTGGTTCCATAAAAATTTTAGGGTTATTGGTTCCAGCTCTGTGAAAAATGCTGTTGCTGTGTTGATAGTGATTGCATTGAATGTGCAGATTGCTTTGAGTAGTATAACCTTATCTGCAACATTTATTCTTCCAGTCTTTGAACATGTAATGTTTTTGCATTTTGTGTCTGTCATCTTCAATTCCTTTCATCAACATTCTATAGTTTTCACAGCACAGGGCATTCACCTCTTTGGTTAGGCTGAATCTTATGTATCTTATTGGTTTTGGTGCTATTGTGAAGGAGATTGAATCCTCAGTTTCACTTTGTGATGACTCATTATTGTTGCATAGAAATGCAACACATTTCTCCACATTAATTTCATATCCTGCAAGTATTCCAAATTCGTGTTTCATTTCTTACAGTTTTTTTACTTCTCGCAATTTTTTTGGTGATGTCTTTTGGTTTTCTATACATAGGATAATGTTCTTGCCCCCTGAGCATGATATTGTTGTGGATATTTGGCATATGGCCGTTATGATGCTGAGGTATGTCCCTTCTATCCCTACCTTGCTGAGAGTTTTTTGTTTTTCAAGAAAAAATGCTCTATTTGGTCAAATGTTTTTTTCTGCATCTATTGACAGATCATACGGTTCTTATCCCTTCTTTTATTAATATGGTGTATCATGTTTATTGAATTGTGAAAACTGAACCAGCCTCGCAACCCACGAATAAATCCCACCAGATTGTGGTGAATAATTCTTTTAATATACTGCTGAATTTGATTTGCTAGTATTTTACTGAGAATTTTCGCATCCATGTTTCATTAGGAGTGTTGGTCTGTCATTCTCCTTTTTAGTGTTTTTTCTTTTCCTTTTTTTTTTTTTCTGGTTTGGACCAACGTAATGCCGGCCTCATAGAACAAGTTTGGAAGTATTCCTTCAATTTCTATGTTTTGGAAATGATTGAGAAGAATAGGTATTAATTCTTCTTTAAATGTCCAGTAGATGCGCTGGGAAACCATCCCGTCCTGGACCTCCATTTTCTTAGGTCTAAAGTTAGGGTATGTAGACATCATATCGATGGATTGGTTTTTTTTAAAGATTTTATTTATTTATTCATGAGAGAGAGGAGGAGAGCCAGAGACCGAGAGAGAGAGAGAGAGAGAGAGAGAGCAAGGGAGAGAGACAGAGACAGAGACAGAGAGAGGCAGAGATATAGGCAGAGGGAGAAGCAGGCTGCACACAAAGAACCTGATGTGAGACTTAAATCCTCACCGTGGCATCTTGCCCTGATCTGAAGGCAGACACTGAATCTCTGAACCACCCAGACATTCCGGATCTTGTGTTTTAATCCACTCTGGTACCTTAGATCTTTTAATGGGGGCGGGCCTTTAGTCCATCTACATTCCGAGTGATTATTGAAACATATGAATTGAGTGCCTTGGCGTGACCAGTAGGGTTGGTGTTTCTGGTGTTGTTCTCCGGTCCTTTCTAGTCTTTCTTGCTTTTGGCATTTCCCCCCCTCCCCCCCACTAAAAGAGTCCCCCTTAAAAATTTCTTGCCGGACTGGTTTAGTGGTCATGAACTCCTTTATTTGTCGTCTCTCTGGGGAATTCTTAATCTCTCCTTCTATCCTGAATGACAGCCTCGTTGTATAACGAATGTGCGGCTGCATACTTTTCCCATTCAGGACATTGAATATTTCCTTCCAGAACTTTCGGGCCTGCCAAGTTTGTGTGGACAGATCTGCTGTGAACTGGATTCGTCTTCTTGTAGGTGAAGGAGTCTCGCTGCCCCGCCGCTTTCAGGATTCTTTCCTCGTCTATGTATTCTGTGATTTTGACTCTGATGTGCCTTGGTGATGTCGGCTCTTATTTTTTTAAGTTAGTGGGAGTTCTCTGTGTTCTTGGTTTCATTGTCTGTGTCCTTCCTCACATTAGAGAAGTTTATATAATTTGTTCAAATAAAACTTGTGCCCCCTTTTCTCCCTCCATCTTCTGAGTCTACTGTGATATGAAGGTTATTTTTAAGATTTTATTTTATCATTTATTCATGACAGACACACGGAGAGGGAGGCAAGGACACAGACAGAAGGACAAGTAGGCGCCATGCAGAGAGCATGATGCGGCACTAGTTCCTCGGAATCCAGGATCATGCCATAGGCTGCTGACAGGTGCCAGACGGATGAGCCACCCGGGGTTCCCCCGATATGAATGTTATTGTTTTAATAAGTGACTGAGTTCCCTTAAGTCTGCCTCTGTGGTTCATTATGTTTCCTGTTTTTATGGCTTCTGCTTGGGACTGCAACTCAGTTATACCATTTTCATTGCTGGCCTGACCCGATTTTAGTTCATTTGTCTCTACATTAAGGGATCGTGTAGTGTCCACTGTACCCTTTTTACAAGCCAGCTACTAACTTTATACTCATTGTTTTTAATTCCAGTCAGACATCTTACTTATATCTGCATTGATTAAATCCCTGGCTGGGAGGACTACCTCGTGTTCTTTTCGGAGGTGAATTTCTCCACCTCATTTTTTTCAAAACAAGAGGGAAGAAAGAAATAGAAAACAGGGAAAACAACAATAACAACAAAACCCCCTAAAACTAGATCCTGGGTGTGTTCTGGCCCGCTTGTTACTTATTAATTATTAGTAGAATGTAGATCCCAAAATAAGAATGAAAATACAACTACAATGAATGTAATCAAAAATAAGAAATATATAAGTATGTACATAATAATTAAAAG